GGGGAGCAAATCTGGAAATCTTGAAACTTTATCTTTAGTTATGGCAAAATGTGTAGGTTAAAGCTCCAGAATCACATATTTTCCTGTTGATTCTTGTGTGAAAAGAATAGTTATTTCCTTAGAAGATACTATCCTAACCCCATCATTATTCGTTTTGCAGTTAATAAAACTGAGAAATGTCCCAATATTCACTTCTCAAATTCTTTCTCTTCCCTTGATACCTGTACAGTAATTTTGAAATGAAAGCAAGATGGCCAAAATAGGAATAGTTCTAAAAAAATTCACATGGAAAGATTTAACGGGCATTCTTTGTTCAAGTGTGAAAGATGACAACTCTGGACTCCCATATTTGTCCCCATCACCCCTTTTATTTTATAACCCAAGAATCCTGCGATACGTAAAGCTGGGATAATCGGGCACCATGTTCCTTTGGGTCCAGTTGACATCAGTGGGATCACTGGAACACTGATACATCCTTCAGAGAAGCTTTTCTACCTCCTCTCCCATTTTGTGTGGAAGATTCCAAGTGAATGTAAACTTGAACAAATCCCAACAGTCAAGTTCTTCTCCCTCTCGTGCCCTCACCCTGCCCATTTCCTCTTCCTAGTGAACAAGATCCGGACACAGATATGACATAAAGAAAGTGTCCTCCTATTCTAGGACCGTTTATTCCCATCACTTGCCCTGCCCCTCACTTTGGGACAGTTTTGGATCTAACTTCCAAAGCCATCAGATTGCTGTTTGGCTCCCCTTTGAACTGCTGCAGCTCTCTGAAGCTGATGCTGGTGCAGTAGATCATCTTGAACCCACCTACACTCTGGGGCTGCCACCTTGTACCAGTGTGGAGCTACTTGGAAACCACTTTTCTGATGTAGGAAGAATCTTTGGCCATCACTTGTGTTACATCATTAACCAAACTCCAAAGTAGGGCTCCCTTGCTCTCTTAGGATTTTACAGGGACTTTGGGTAAAAATAGGTCTCTTAGATTTCTATGAATCCCCTTGGTTCTTAAGGAATTAATCATGCGAACATTGGAGCGAGGCCAGAAGAAAAACTGAGTTACAGACTCAAAATCCCTGCTTCCTCGTACTCACTGGGACATTGTTCTGAATCTGTACTCTAGGGGTTCACCCTTTCCTCATGATAAGTTCTCTCCCTTTAGGTCTTTCTATTCTCTTCCAAATATATGCCTGGTGAATTAAGCTTACCCATGTTCTTCTAGCTATGCCTAGACTTATCTGAATCTTAGAATGATTAAGCTTGGATTCCAAGCTGGTGTCCCTTATCACCATTTTATTACTCATTTTATTCCCCCAGGTCATTTTTATTTCCACTTTATATTCTTTTATATTTTTATTTTTTCAGTTTTATATACATATATATTCTTTATATATAGTATATAATGCATATATTTACATATATATTCTTTTTCATATTCTTTTCCATCATGGTTTATCACAGGGTATTGAATATACAGCAGGATCTTGTTGTTTCCTACCCACATTTTTTAATGAGAAGTCAGAAATAAGGATCAGCTTTGAGAAATAAAACCACTGTAATACACATCTACGAATATAATGGTTTTCCTAAATGAAAATGTTTTAGATAGGTTTCTTTACTGATATATTTGCAGTATCTAAATCATCCTGTATCTTTAATAATAAAAGTCAGCATTGTTAAATAGATTTTATAAAAAATTCCTTATTTTTAATACTTGCAATAGTCTGGATTTCTTCAGCACTTCTAAGGAAAGCGACTGTTCAGCCCTATTCAAAAGGTTCAGTCATCATCATCAGTGGAGGTGTAATGTGTCTGAAGGAGAAGGCCAAATAATGCTTCCATGGTGTAGCTTAAGATCAAGACCCACTGAGCAAGTATTAACTTATGGAATCTTAATAGTCACCTCATTGCTGAAGTGGAAAGGAAACCAAGAGGAAACTTAATAATATCAAAAGTTATTTTAAAAGGAGCTCACGTTTGTTTGAAGGGGACTTTGCCTCACACACAATATCCCCCTTTGTAAAGACCAAGAAACCCATATTTGTCACACACACACACACACACACACACCTTTATAGTTTTCAAAGTGTCAATCTTGAGAGCAATCTTTTTTCTCCAGAGATAAAAATCAAAATATTGAAAGTCTTTCAAATAATTACAAAAGGTACCCTCTTACAAACCCAAGAAATTTGGGATTTTGGTTTCAGTGCTTATTTAATGAGAAAAGGGTCAGTGTGTTGTAATGAATAGAAAACTGATTTTACTGTATTCCATTTGTGTGTCGTGTGGCAACATATTTCAATATTAGAAAGATCATCTATTAAAAATGATTTCTGCAGTTATCCATGTATACAAGTAAAAAATTTCATTCCTGTTAAATTAACACTTCATTAAAGCATCAAACTCAAAGCTCAACAAATACTTTTTATGTTGTGTTCCAGGACAGAAAAAAAAAAATCCAAAATTTAAAGAACAGATCGCCAGTTATTCTAGTCCATCACAGTCAAGTTTCTCAGTTCTGTTTTTCTTTTTTTCTTTTGCTGTGCTCTCTGTCACTGGAAACATCTTAAACCAATTTCAAGTGCTACACCTGAATAAACATGTTGTAAAAGTGTTTATGTATTGAGGTGGGTCAGTTCAAGGTATGGTATTTGGCTGGAACTTCTAATTTCTCTTTTTACAGCAAAAGGGCTGCCAGAAGGAGGAAGTCTGAGCTGAATTAATACATTTGTTACAGTGGAAGTAGAATGGAAACTACTCTGACCACAAATCAAACTGCCTCTTTCATTTATGCCAGTGATAGAGTTTTTCTAAGAAATATAGACTCTGGCATGGAGCCACTGTAAGTTTGCATTTAAAAGAGAAACCCATAGGCTTATTTGTTTAAGGTTTACTGCTCTGATTATTTTGAAGTTCTTTCTCTGCTAGGATGGAGTGGAGTGGCATTTGGGAAGGGAGCGGCTATTTTCATGTTTGTAGGAATGTAACAAGTTTTCCCAATGAGCGATTGTTGAGGATACCAGTGAATGCTGTCCGCATTGATACACGTGCATTTTTTCAACCAGTATCTCCACATTTGAAGGACTTCTGTGTCCCTCGCAACAGCTGCACCACCTCACTTAACACAGTCTCGTTTTCTGACGGTAGAAGGTCCCTGCACAATACAAGTATACACAAAAGTGTTTATGCTGCCAAAATAAATTGTGTTAAGAGCAAGAGTTTATTTGCTAAAATGCCATTGATGCCATTTCAGGGACTTGATTTCTTTCTTCCAAGGTGGGTTAGGTCTTATAATGCACTGAAGCTGCTGCACAGTCTTAACTGAATAAATATTTTAAGAAAACTTTCACATCCCTCCAGGGACAAGGCAAGGCCAATCATGTGCATATTTCTAAGCACATGATATATTACTCTGAAAAGATTGGTAACTTTCATATCTGGAGTAGAATTTGTTTTTTGCATGAGCTTTGAGTAATTTTCAACTAAATGTACAACTTAAAGTTAAATACTTCATTCTCTCTGGGTAATTTTCATTGAATTTTTTATCGGTCAATGGTTTTCTTTATATATATGCACATATATACATACAAACACACATACGTGCACACACACACATATATATACACATACACATATATATAATTTTCTGGGATATTTATTTTAAATGAAAAGATCATAACAAGAGTGAATTGTAAAATGTGTAACGAATGCCTAACTCCTAAGGTATTTATGAAATCAAATCAAATAATGCATGGAAACCACTAAGAAAAAGGCCTACCATAGAGTCAGAAAGTATCATGGTAGATTCCAGTGGTTGTGGGTGTTGAAAGAGATGGGGAAGGGGAATGGGGACTGGTGTTTAATAGTGACACGGGTTTCAGTTTGGGAAGGTGAACAATTCGGGACATGGGTGATGGTTGGAGTTGCACAACAGTGTGAATGTACCTAATGCCGCTGAACTGTGCAAGTATGGTTAAAATAGTATATTTTATATTAATATTATGTGACTTTTATCATAATAAAAATATTTTAAAAAGAAAAGAATAATACCTAGTGTACATAGCAAGTGCTCCAAATGCATGTGATGCTGTTGTAGTGATGAGTATTATTTTTGCTACTCCAATGGGAGAAGCACTTTATCAACATCTATTTCTTGTCTGTAGGGCAGCCGATTTCTCATCCACTGTAGCATAGGCCCTGGGCGCACTCCTTTTCTGATAAACAACCACAACAGTGGGCTCAGAGGGTCTGGGACACAGACTGCTTTAGACTAAGCTCATCTGGAATATTTCTCCTTTCTGAGCATTTCCAGGCTTGATTTGCATCCTCTGAAATCCTTTCAGTAAACATCATTCAAGCGTGTCCAAGCGCAGAGAAAATTTTGAAATTTTCATGTTTGCTTCAAAGTCCTTTACATGGAGAAAGACCTGTTGCTTAGAGTAAAGCTCCATGCCCAGCAGGGGCCTCTGGAAGGATCTTTGAAGTGCTTTAAGTGGATCATAGCTTTGTAAAGATTGCTGGGCCTAGGCCCGAAGTGAGGAGGGGTTTATCAACCCTGGAAAGTCTCCAAAGAAGCAGGGGAAAGTAGAAACCCCCAGCCAGCCATTCGGCTTTAATCACACGAAAGAAAATTACAAGGCATTTAGTGCAAAAGTGCCTGTAGCTAATATTTCTGAAATCACTGGTTAACACGGCCATTTCCAGGCTGATGGTAGTGAAGCCATTTAGAAGGTTCCCAACTTTCAGGTCTGAGAAAGAGCCCATCAGTGAAGGCCTGGGGGTGTTGTGTGGCTAAAGAGTGATACGAAATGGAAAACCAAGAATGGATAACCGTCTGTGACAGTACATTTTCCACATTTATGAGATTCTTTGGTCAGCAAGTTAAAGGTTCTGGTAGTGTCTTCAAACCTTTACCTCTTCCCACAGACCCTCTGAGCTCACCCCTCAGCAGGTGACCTCATCTCTTCTTGATAAACCCAGTGCCCCTTCCTCTGCTCCAGGTCACAGCATCAACGTGAAGTCGGCCGGCCTCGTGGGACGACATGGGCCTCAGTCAAAACAGCCATTCATGGTGGCCTTCTTCAAGGCGAGCGAGGTGCTTCTCCGGTCTGTGAGAGCAGCCAACAAGCGAAAAAATCAAAACCGCAATAAATCCAGCTCTCCTCAGGACTCCTCCAGAGTGTCCAGTGTCGGAGGTGAGATAAAACCAGAGCTGCAGCTCTGCACAGAGGGTCACGGGGTCGTACGTTGCAAATCAAGTAGCCACAGTAAATCTACCCTCTGGTGTACCCTCATTTGGTCTATTAAATCATCCGGCCATGTTTCTTGCATCCCCCAAATGTTTCATCAGTGAAGCATTCAGTAATTCATTTTAAAGTAAGTGGGACTTACCTCAATCTGCTGAAAGCTGCAATTCAAATTCAAATCAAGCTGGCAATAATAAAATTATTAAATGGCTACATCAACAAGAGCTAGTCCAAATTGAACTCCACAACTTGTGGGCTGACCGTTCCCAGGAATCTCACATATGGATGGGTAACAAGTAAATTAAAAATAAAAGCATTACTTTGGTACTTAAAACAGTATGTGTTAATCATGAGCTTGATTTTTTTGGACAAAAGAAGCAGGGTAGATTGTATGGAAATTGAGATAATATTTATATTTCCATTAATTATTTAGAGGGATGTTATGTAGATAATTTGCTTTGAGTGTGTATACGTATACATATACATGCTCATATGAAATCAAACAAAATGTTGTAAATGCACAGTTGATCCCACTATGTTTGCAATTTAATCTATTAATTGATAGATAAAAAATACACTTGATCTGAACTCATCTAACTGAGAAAATCTGAAGCAATTTATTCCTATACTTTGTACCAATAAGTACCTTGTTTAGTTCTAGTTGCAAACAAATTTTTATAAGTTGCCCCTAGATGAAAATGATGGCTATTTTATTCCTAGGAATTGTCTTATCTATGAAAAATAACCCTATTTGAAGGAGAAAGCTTGCCCTAGTTAGGACGAAGTGTGTGTTCATTGTAAAATGTGTATTCTTCTCTGTTGGTGACCACCATATGCAGTGTACTTGTGAGGCACCATGAATGAACTGGTGAACAAAATAGATATGACCTCTGCATTGGTATTTCAGCAAATGCGAATGTTTTGCTCTTCCAAAAAGACACATCCACACAGTGTTTGCCATTAATGATTATAAATGAAACAAAAATATATAGCATTTTTTTTTAAATCCTGGTACTCTTAGCAAAGATACCAAGTGGAATTCACTGGAACCCTCCTAGAGTGAAGGCACAGGAGAAGTGTGTTAGGAAGAAGTTTATTTTGTGTATCTAACAACAGAAGCAGAGGGAAGAGTTCTGTGAAATTGCATTATCGTAAATTACATTCTACACAGAAATCCATGCTTTAAAATAATTTTCCATCAAATAAGCTTCACTGTCTTTTTCACTTGAAAGTAAATGTGATATTAGTGCCTTATTACAAGGCTATTTTATAAAGATATTCACAAGATATTTAGTTTGGCAAAATTTTTAATTGCTTAATATGAAAGATGGAGAAAAATAACTTTCTAAGAACTTTTCTTCCTTGTAAATACTAGCCTGTCAAAATTGTATATTTTTCTTTTCATATAGAATGGTTCTGAAATGGGTTGAAATGTTTTTAATTTAATGTAGCAGATTGCATTAAGAAAGAGATTTGTTAAATCTTGAATAGAATAGTAAATAATTTTTGAGAAAATGTCAAAGGGAAAAGTCACCTGCGTATTATTAGAGCTGGTAATGACTCTGGCAGAGGTGTTCCAGCAACTGAAATCATCTTTCTCCCTATTGGTGAACTCTATTTATCTTCCCTTCCTGACCACAAGTAACAAATGTGCTTCTATACCTAGAGATGAATAAAATACATGAAGCAGAAATCACATAACTTTTCACCAGTTTCCTAACACCATTTAGAGTACAAAATTATTCTAATATAGACCAATATTTTCTTTTTAAAAAGTGTGTCATTGGCACCCATTTCTGTGAAATATGTAGTAGGTGGTTTTGGAACATGTTCATATTTTGATAATAAGAAGAAAGAAAGTAGTTGGTTTGTGTGTATGAGACTTAACCTTTCAATAGGTAGTAATCAAACAGGCAGGAAAAAGTCTCATAGGATTTGGCCCAAAAGACAGGGGTTTAATATAAACATAAAATCTGATACTTAGGAGACTTGAAATGCTAGTGAAATTTTAAAATTATCCAAATATAAATAGCAAATGCTGTAATATTACTAGGCTTTTACATTAAAACACTGTGTGAAGACGCCATAACTAAGGTCAGTGGGGAGAAGGGAGAGTTGTATTAGAAGTTTGCTTGGTTGCATTTTTTTTTTTTTGCAAAGCACATTCTCAAATGTTAAAAATCTCCAACAGTGCAGAACGCAGGTCATTCTTGCTGTCTTTACCTCATCCCTTTCTTCTTTCAGAGTCCTGTCTTCTGACTTCTCAGTGCCCTTTTATTATAGGTGCTTCTGTGGGAGAACCTACAACAGTGTCCAACACAAAACAGCAACTTCACAAACACACATTCAGGAAATTAGCATGGTCACTCTATGGGAGAACTAGCTTCCTTTTTCAGCTGTGTATATATAGAACCACTGACTCTGGATTTTCAGCAGAAACCCTCTGTCTTTGCTGCTCTTTAGGTTTTTAGCAAGAACTTTGAGCAGACACTTTGTGAGAGATGTTACTTATTTCACAATGTGCAGGCACTATTGATTTTCCTTTGAACTTGGGTTTAGGGGAAAGGAAATGTAGGCAATAGCTAAATATTAAGGTAACCACCCTTTGGGTTGAAGAGGCACTAAGTTGATAAGATTTTAAAGAACCTACCAGGAGCAAGATGCTATTTTAAGGACTATATCAATGTGCAAAAACAATAGAGCATTCAAAATTTCAAGTATTTACAAGGCACAGAGCTAGTTCTCGTTTCCTGCAGAACTGCTTGAAAAGGTGCTTATTGCAAGCTTGGTATTACGACCATCGGTGCCCTGCCTGCAACTCCCAACTCGACAGGTGCTATATCTTGCCTAGTGGATACAATGTAAAGTCATCCCTCTTGGACAACCATTTTAATCAAAACCAGAAAGAACAATCTGTTGGAATTATTTGTTTAGAGTGCATTGTTATGTAATTAATACATAATTTTATTTTATAAAAATAATCACAAATAAAGCTAAAATCCTCCTTTAATCATTTCTTTTAAGATAAATTATCCTGATACACTGTTATTAACAGAATACAAGTACTTCCAAGGTTTCTCCTCCTATATGTGCATCACTTTTGGAGGATATAATTTTATTATGTGTTATATAGAGATATATTCTTTTTCAGATTCTTTTCTCTTAGAGGTCATTATAAGACACTGAATATCACTCTCTGTGTGGTACTGTAGGTCCTTGTTATTTATCCATCTTATATACAGTGGTGTATACTTGCTGATGCCAAACTCCCAATTTCTTTCTCCTCTTCCAACCCCCTTTGGTAGCTTTAAGTTTGTTTTCTACATCTAAGTCTGTCTTTGTTTTGTACATAAGTTAATTTGTATCTGGTTTTTTTTAGGATTCCACATATAAGTGTATCACATAATATTTCTCTTTGTCTGTCTTACTTATTTCACTTAGTATGATAATCTGCAGGTCCATTCATGTTGCTGCAAATGGCATTATTTCATTCTATTTTATGGCTGAGTAATATTCCATTGTATCAATACATGTTCACTACATCTTTTTTATCCATTCGTCTCTTGTTGGACATTTAAATTGTTTTCATGTCTCGACTTAACAGCGCTGCTATGAACACTGGCGTGCATGTGCCTTTTCAAATTATAGTTTTCTCCAGATATATGCTCAGAAGTGGGATTGCTGGATCATATGGTAGTTCTATTTTTAGTTTTTTAAGAAACTTCCAGACTATTCTCCATAGTTGGCACCAATTTACATTCTCCCCAACAGTCCAAGAGGGTTCCTATTTTTATGAACCTTTTTAAGAGCAGTTTTAGGTTCACAAGATTGAAAGATTGAAGGTACACAGATTTCCCATGTACTCCCTACCCCACAAATGCATAGCCTCCTCCACTATCAACATCACTCACCATGGTGATGCATTTCTTACCGAAGATGAACCTACATGGACACATCACAATCAACTACAGTCTATGGCTTACCTAATGTTCACTTTTGGTATCATATAGTTGGTCTTATGGATTTTTTAAACAACTTATTTCAGTCATCTTTCAAATTAGTGACTTCATGTTTTTATACTGCTACAATATATTCAATACTGCTTTTGTCAGAATTTATTTAGTCATATCGCTCTTAAAAAGACATTTTGGCTGTTTTTAAATTGGGACTTTCAAAATCAATGCTGCAGTAAAAATCCTGCAAGGCTGCACCAGTGAGAATGGTTTTAATCCACATGGTTTTTATAGTAATTAACACCAAAAGCTGTTATCTGTGCTCTGAATATGCAAAATTTTGAAAATCCCTTCTCAAATGATAGTTATTTTGTTACGTAGATCTAGTTTGATCCATCTTTTTATTTATCTATTCATCTATGTGTGTGTGTGTGTGTGTGTGTGTGTGTACGCACGCGCGCGCGCGAGCTCAGTTGTGTCTGACTTTGCAACACTATGAAATTATAGCCTGCCAGGTTCCTCTGTCCATGGGATTTCCCAGGCAAGAATATTGGAGTGGGTTGCCATTTCCTTCTCTGGGGGATCTTCCTGACCCAGGGATAGAACCCGTTGTCTCCTGCTTGATGGGCGGATTCTTTATCACTGAGCCACCTGGAAAGTCCCATTCATCTGTACCTTTATCTTTTCTTCTGTCATGTAACTCTGGGTCTACCTCTTAGTAGCTGTGTAATCTTGGACAGGGCATGTCACATCTCTCTATTTCTTCATCTGGAAAGTGGGAACGTTAATACTACCTGCCTCATAGAGTAAAATTACATGAGTTGCAAGGATTAAACGAGTTAATGGGTATAAAGAATGGAGAACACTGTGTATACTCATTCAGGGTTAAACATTATCATTATTACCAAATTAGGGTTCAATTTCTCCAAACTGGTGCTTAAAGAGGTCAGACTTTTGCATCAGTACCCATTCCCCTGATCACTTATTGTCAAGTTT